CTCCATCATTTTGTGTTAAGAGAGAAGAGAAATGCAAGAGACACTCATTTTATAGCTCAGCCACAGGTAAATTATCTGGTGGAACAGGTGAGCACTTGGCTTTCCTGCCTTTCATTTTTCTTACAGTGAAAATAAAATGTAATGGCTGCACTGATTTATTATTACCAGCAGAATGTAGCACAGGTATCATTTGACACCGTGTGTGCCTTCATAAATCCTTGGCTGAATGACAAACCCCATTCCGTGCAGTTTGAGGTTCCCCCTGAACCTCTGCCCCACAACTACACCAACTTTTTGCCAGGAAAAAAATTTTCTAAAGCCCCACATCTCCACTGAGAATAGTTCTCAGGGCTTCTGGGACATGTCCCAGCTGGGAGGTGCCATTTTCAAATCTGATGAAGGCTCCAGTGTGGGGACATGTGAGCTCAGCCCTTGCTCTGGCGCAAGAGGAACCCACGGGGATGATGGAGGGCAGGGCAGGGCAGCAAGAGCAGTGCCAGGCACAGACAGCTCACCCCTTGGAAACCGAGAGTCAAGATGGTCTGGTTTGGAAGGAACCTTGATGATCATCTCATTCCACCCCCTTCCAAGGGCAGGGGTACCTTCCACTAGACCAGGTTAATCCAAGCTCTGTCCAACCTGGCCTTGGACACTTTCAGGGATTAGGCAGCTTCTCTGGGCAATCTGTGTCAGGGCATCACCACCCCCAGAGGGAATTCCTTCCCAATATCCCACCTAACCCAGCCCCCTGTCAGTGGGATGCCATTCCCCTTTTTCCTATCAAAAACCATCCCTATGCTCTGGCCCACAGGACAACAGAGGTGGGTGAAAACTGCTCACCCTCTTTTTTCTAAAACGCACCTTCCAGTTGTTCCCTTTAAATTTTTTTTCCTCTCTAAACAAAAGAAATCACGGAGAGAAAGGAAGGAGAAAGAGGAGGGGAAAAAAAAAAAAGAACATCTTAAATGCAAACGTCAGAATGTTGAGAGCAGAGGGATCCAGGCTCCCGCTCGCACACGGGGCTCTGGGGTCACTGGTCACTTCCAATTAGCTCCTACCACCAGCTAATGCTCCCTGTCAGCCAGAAACAAGGAACTCTGGAGAAAAACAAGTTCCACGCAGAGATTTTGGGGTTGTTTTTTCATGGTACTACAATGGCCTGCAGGAAAGGGAAGTGTCCCCGCTGAACTGAGTAACTCTGCCTTAGATAACACTGCCAGAGACTGGCTCTGCTGTGGTCCCAGCAAAGAGCATCCTCCTCTCCAGGGTGGTGTGACAGGAGAGGTGCCCACTGTGGGATCAGCCTGTCCCCACTGACACACAGCTGGCACTGTCCCAGAGCTGCTTTGGGAGAGCCTCAGAGGCACTGAGGACAGGAGAGAGAAAATCACAGAAACACAGAATGGTTTGGGTTGGAAGGGACCTTGAAGATCACCCAGTTCCAACTGCCTGCCCTGGGCAGAGACACCTTCTACTAGCCCAGGTTGCTCCAAGCCCTGTCCAATCTGACCTTGGACACTTGCAGGGATGGGGCAGCCACAGCTTCTCTGGGCAATCTGTGCCAGGGCCTCACCACCCTCATAGGGAAGGATTCCTTCCCAATATCCCATCTATCCTTGCCCTCTGGCAGTGGGAAGCCATTTCCCCTTGTCCTGCCACCCTATGCTCTTGTCCAAAGTCCCTCTCCAGCTCTCTTGGAGCCCCTTTAGGCACTGGAAGGGGCTCTAAGGTCTTCCTGGAGCTTTGTCCAGGTGAACACCTCCAGCTCTCCCAGCCTTTCCTCACAGCAGAGGTGCTCCAGCCCTGTGCTTCCCATCAAACAAACCACAGCTTCACATTTTCCAGGTCTTAAAGAGTCCTGGCCTAACATAAGACATGATTTCTGCTACTGACTTGACACAAACACCATGTGCCAGAAAACCTCACATCGGAGAAAAGAAATTAATTTTCCTAAAGCCACTTTTCAAGAGCCCCCTGGAGTAGCTGAGTCCAGAACAAACACTGATTTCTCTCCAGGTGCTCCCGATGGGAGATTCAGAAGTGTCCCATCTCTGCCCAAGCATTATTTTGTTTGGACACACACTCGTGTTCCCCAGTGCCTGCTCAGACATAGCACTGCACAGCAGCAACCTGTAACCTTCCACACACCTCTGCCCATCTCCACAGGGACCACGAGGTCAGTAAAGACAGAAACTTCTTAAAAAATCTTGTATTTCTATCCTTTACTATTATTTCCCTCTAAGGAGCAAGTTAACAATAGTGTGCTGCTTGGGAAAAAGGAACAACAAATATATTTACCAAGTGTGCACAGTAATAAACTGATGGAATTAAGTTTATAACCAGTAGACTGAGATATTATTAACAACCAGGTATCAATATCATTTAAAAAATATCTTTGGACAGGCCTCTGTAACACCAGCAACTGCTTCATCTTTTGAAAGAAGGCATTTTCTTTTTGGAAATTTTTGAATTTGTGGTTGATTTATTTGGATTTTTCTCTGTGAGATTTTGAGCACATAAGACTAAAATGCAGGAAAACACATCTAATTTTCAGAGAAACAATAATTAGAGCCTCAATGAACTTCCTGCCCTCTGCAGTGCCTTCTTCTGTTGCTGCAAGAACACACTTCCCAACACAATGCTTGGAATGTTAAATTGGATGTTAATAAGTGGTTTAAACTGCATAATTCATGCTAATCTAAGGAATGTTTTGCCTAGACCAGAGCTGGTGGGATTGTTTCACCTGTCACACTGTTACATGTCATATGAGTCGCCTGTGATTCAACACAGCATGTGTGTTGCTGCTCCAAAACGGTGCCTGGGTCCCTATTCATTCCCACAGGTTCCTTAATATCCTGTGAAGTTTTTTTTTTTCATTCCAGACAGTTTTTGTAGCTAATTTTCTCAGTTTTCAGCTGTAGGTGCAGTGATCTGTCATTGCTCACAGGAACGGTGGAGGAAGAAAACTCAGTTTAAATCGGGATCGCAGTGCTGAGGAAATGTAAGCACAGCCATGGGAGAATAAAACAAAACTTGGAAGAGCAGCCAACAACAGGACAACACAACAAAAATGCATTATTGATAGGAAAGCAGGGTCACATTTGGTTTTGTCTGCACTTTCTCTTTGTGAAGGACTCCCTCACTGCTGATGACACCACACATTCCCCTCCAATGCCACTGGCAGGGGGCCATGGCTTCCAGTAACAGCAGAACCAGCATCTTTTCAAGCATCTGTTGAGCAGCCAAAGCTCCTGGTCTGCCAATGTGTGAGAAAGGACAATCACAGAATCATAGGATCGTTTAAGTTGGAAAAGACCTCTAAGATCCTCAAGCCCAACCATCACCCAGCACCACTGTGTTCACCACTGAACCCTGCTCTCCAGTGCCACATCCTCAAGTTTTTTGAACACAGGGCTGGTGTTCCCAAAGCTCAGACAACTCTTGTTCTTGGTTATAACAAGGACAATTAGAGGCTCCAAGCTTTTTAGTAAGATGTGAGGGGTCACCCAAAGAACATGGGAGAAGGCAATTGGACTCGCTGTGAGTGAGTGACAGGCAAAACACGAGGCAGCACCTTTGAGGACCAAGGAGATACTGCCCCAAAAGCCTTTTCAGAGGTGTTGATTAGGAATCATCAGACAAATAAGAAGATTCAACCACTTTAAGTGATAAAACCATCTGAAAAATGGGAATGGGAGCGTGCAGCAAGGTGGCAAAATACCAGGAGAACGTGCTGAGATCTTAGGGAATTCTGCCTTGAGCTCCAACTCAGAGGAAGCTTCCTAATAGTAATTTGCAAATTAGTGATAGGACGAGGGGGAATGGCCTTAAGCTGAAGGAGGGCAGGTTTAGATTAGACATGGGGGAGAAATTCTTTACTATGAGTGGTGAGGCCCAAGTGTCCAAGGCCAGGTTGGACAGGGCTTGGAGCAACCTGGTCTAGTGGAAAGAGGCAGGAGGTGGAACTGGATGGTCTTTAAGGTCCCTTCCAACCCAAACCATCCTATGTTTCTGTGATTCTGTGAAATAAAGTGACTGAACAGGAGCTGTCACTGAAGCACAAGAAGTTCCATCACAAATCTGCAGCATTAATCTGCTGTGGCCCATGTTCCTCTGTTTAGTTCCCTGGCTGTGCAAGAGTTTGTGCTGCAACACACAGAAGTTCAACAGCATCAGAGCCAAACTGTGCAATGAAAAGCTGAGAGAATGGCCAAACCAATGCGGATTCAACCTAAAATAGCAGCACATCACCATCCATAAAATCTCAGCAGGTTTGGGATGGCTGACAGGGAGCTTGGGTAGTAGTGAGGGGTGGTCAGACTGGATTTGGAGAACCACAGATCACGTGTAGCTGCAAAAAGGTGGAGTGAGGGGATGGAAACCACTTGGCTACACACAACAGGAGACTGAATGGAGTCACCATCCCAGCCCAGCCTCAGCAGGGTCAGTACATGTCCCCAGTACACCAGTCCACAGCCAGTTAAATAAATGAGTTATTCAATTCAGCAACTTCTCGTTGAAGTGTTTGAATACAATGCCACACACACTTGAAATGAAAAAAAATTAAGTCTGTCATTTGACAGAGAAACACAATTTACAGTAATTATTCATGTCTGCAGAATACACATAACCCCCCCCCGAGGGAAATTAAAAATCCTATAAATAGCCTCACTGGAGAACAGCTGGATAGATCCTATACAATAACCAAGTATTTAGACCAATCCACACATTTCTGCATCCCCGAGAAGGTGGCAATTGCAAGCCTGAAATTCAGTTTAGATCCATGAAAAGTACAAAAGGAGAACAAGAGGAAATTGAAATGTCAGCGCAGCTGGACCTCACGCTTCCCATTACCACTAAAAACTGAGGAAATAGAGGAAAACCCTGAATTTCAGTGCTCACCATCACTCAAGTGCCTGGTCTGTTTTTCATGGGCATTTTCTATAATTTATTGCTTTGTCAGAAGGCCAAGTGGAGATGCAGATTGAAAACTGCCTTACCTGGTGTGTGCAGAGGGATGCAGGAGCCACAGCTCCATGCTGAGGGGCAGGAAGGTTCACCACCCATCCTCCTGGGAGACCTGCTCCAGCCTGGGAATCTCTTGTCCATGTTTGCACCCTGTCTCGCACTGAATTTAAATACACTTCTGCCATCCTTTCATTTGCCTTCAGCTTGGGAATAAAACACTTCAGGTTTAGAGTTCCAGAATGGTTCAGTTGGGAAAATCCCTCCAAGATCACTGAGCCCAACAATTAACCCACACTGCCAAGGCCACCATTAAACCCCCTCCCCAAGTGCCACGTCCACACATCCCTCCCCATCCCTCCAGGATGGGGACTCCATCCCTGCCCTGGGCAGCTGTGCCAGCACTTGCTGTTTTGTTCCAAAAGCATACAAAAGTATTCCACAGCCCAATCCAGGATGGTAATTCCCAGATCAGAAGAGGGTGACTCCTGTTACACCATGTACTGTCACAGTCTGGTCCACATAGATTTAAACATCAAACCAGCTGTAACCTTTCTAAGAAATTTTTCTGCTTATTTCACCTGATTTTGTCAATACATACACAAGAAATGACTTGTTTAGACAAATAACCTTTAGCAAAATTGGGTAATTATGAACATCCATCATGGGTCCACTGGCATCAACAACATGACATGAAGCTTCTGGCAGAGAATGATTCCCAAAAAGGCCACATGAATCAATAGGGAAGATGTCTAGTGTGAAGCTAGAAGGTGGACACCTCAAATAGACAATAAAATTAGATATTTTACATTAAAAATGTGTGTTTCGATGTGTGTGCATGAATACACATATATATGTGCACTCCCATGAATCTCTCATTCACATACCATAAGCATAACCATATGCACTGCAAATGTTTTATCATTTTCCTCTGTAAAGTCACATACAACAAACATCCAAGGTAAAGAAAAATGCCTTTGTTAAGACAAAACTGAATTTAAAAACATTTTTAGTCTCAGAATTTGTGATACCACCAGAGACATTTCAGTAATCATAAATGTCACTTATGGAAACCTGCTTAAGAAGTGACCTTTGTGCTGAGCTTCCCGTTGAAAAGAAATTTGATTAAAAACCAAACAAATCTTTTGTGGTTTTGTGTGGGACTGATGGGAACTGATCTGTGCACCTGTAAAAATTCACCCTCTCACTCCCACACTACCACTCAGGAAAACGGTATTGAGGGCTCCTCTTTTTTATATTGGCACTGTGAGTTAACTTTCACTAAGTAAATTCAAGCTACTTTTCAAGAAGTGAAAATTCCTGACCAATGGAATCTGTTTTCTCATATTATGTAGAAACTTGACACTTCTGAGTTCCTTCTTTCAGGTAAACTTTTGTTGGAAAGCCTTGGGGTGCTGCTCTCAAGTCTGAGCAAAGGGACAGCACTTGAGGGGAGGTTAATCCCTGACTTAAATGGTGAAAACCTGGCCCCTGTGGATCCTGCTAAAGTCCTGGAAAGCTTTGCTATGGAGGAGATGGAGGGGATCACCTTTCCAAGCAGAAATACTGATTTGAATGTAGTCTAAATGGGGACCTGTGGATGGGGAGGCACTAGGAGAGCTGGCAGGAGGACAAAGCAGTGATAAATACACCAGGTCATTGATAAATACACCAGGTCATCCCAATCCCACCATGTCCACTCGAGGCATTGAGGCAGGGAAAGCAAAAGACTCACTGAAGCCATCAAGGGATGAATTCCCACAGAAACAGGGCAGACAAAAGACACATGAGATCCCACCACGTTGGTTAAAATCAAATAACCTTGTTCTGTCTTGTTTCACATCAAGCTGTTCTGCATTAGCTCAGCTGAATTGCAAACAATCTGGCAAGGAATTCCCATGGCAATGGGATGCTCTGACACCCAACTCTGGAATACAAAGGAAGAGAGCAAACCGTGAGGAATAACAGCCTTCCCAGGATTGTTCACTGCTTAGAGCCTGGAACTGAATGACTTCCTGAATTTGCTGAGGTGTGTTTTTACCACACTTTGAGGAGGGCAATGAGTTACAGCCTAGAAGATGTTAGATTGGCAATTTGGGTCTGAGTGAATCTGAGAGTCTGATTTTCAATTCCCAGGCTCAGGTTGTACATTTGTAAAACACACACAGATGAGGTTTCGAGTCTGTACTGTTAAGACCCATTTGAAAGTGCAGCTCTTGTTTGAGGAGTCTCGCAGGGCCAAATTATACCACTTGCATGAGCACAGGAATTTGCAAAGGATGAGCAAAAACAAACACATTATCAGAAATGCAATTTACAGGCATCCAGTTAAAGGTCGATGGGAAAGCTCTTCCCAGCCTTTAGAAGGCAAAGGGAACAGAAAAGAGCAAAACTCACCAGCATCCCAGCACATCTCCCAGGCAGCACCAGGAGCAGTCTCTAAAGCAATCCTCAATTAAATAAGAGACTTACAGAATTAAAGTTGTAATACATTATTGATTGTCTACAGAATGAGTACCTGATTGACTGCAGCCAAGAATCCTTCCCTGAGTGCTCCTCTTGAACAGAGATTATATTAACAAAACAAAGAGGGAATTGGAGGATGGTATCCAACAGTAAATTCTGAGATGCTCTAGTAGCTGATTTTATAACAAGAAAAAGTGTGTTTGTTTGATCCAAAGTGACACAGTGGTTTAAGGCAAAAATATGAGAATATCTAATTGACCATTCCAGCCACTTTTTATGAGAAAGGCAATTTTTCTGCTCTTGTAACAACAGTATTGTTTTACTGCTGTATAAAGTCACTTCTGCTTGCAACTTGCATCATGTAGCAGGTACTTGAGGTGGAAAATATTACCTAAAACTCATCTGTTTTCTGAAGAGTTCAGCAACAGATAACTTAAAGATATATAAGCCATCTTTATGGGCACAGACAGCACACAGAGATGGGTGTTTTTAGTGCTGATGTGTATTTTAGCTCCTTCCTGCAGGAATAATCACATTAACACAATGAAAGTTATCAGCTTTATCATGAGTTCCCCCCAAAATTACACTGAAAAGAGGTTAAGTATATATAGCCCTCTATAGAGTGCAACAGCTCCTGAAATTCTGCAGTAAGGATCAAAAATACCCAGGAAATGTATTCATTTTCTTAGACAAGTTTTTAAAATAATATTTTATTTTTGAGTCAGTGGTATATTTAAAAACAATCTACTGTAAGAGTAAAAAGATTGTAGATAATAAAAAACAAAAGTGTGATGACAATAAAAAACACTAGAGTATAAAGTTAGTTTCCTTCCTCCCTCCCAAAACCCCATCCCACCATTGTCTGATATTTCTCAGAGTTTAATATCTGAAAAAAAATGCTTTTTTCTTTTTCTTTACACTTTCAGTACTTAGGAAATTAAAAATACATAAGGCATTCTTTGCAGGCACATTAATCCATTATTACATGAAAAGCAGGCACCATAAAAATGAAAACATTCTAAAAACCATCATATATACAAACACTGTACAGAATGATGGCACAAGGACAAAGTGATTCCATTCAGTTCATCCTAATCCAACATGAAATATTACACATTAAAGAAAGGAAAAAGCTCTTCCCATTCCTGTACTCAGCTTTTGGGTTCAGAATGACCAGGAGTCTCCTACCTGCCTACTCGTTCTTTTCCCACACGCTCGTGCCCGTCGGCAGCTCTGAGGCTTCCTTGATGTACCCTGTGATGGACACTCAGAAGATCCAACTGAACGAAAATGGCAATGGCTGAGCAACAATGACTAATTTTATAAAGCCCATTAATCATGGAATCACAGAATACACTGAGTTGGAAGGGACTCACTAGGAATCCAGCTCCTGGCCCTGCCCAGGACACCCCAACAATCCCACCCTGTCCCTGAGAGCATTGTCCAAATGCTCCTTGGGCTCTGCCAGCCTTGGTGCTGTGCCCACTGCCCTGGGGAGCCTGTTCAGTGCCCGACCACCCTCTGGGGGAAGAACCTTTTTCTGACATCCAATCAAACCCTCCCCTGACAGAGTTCCAGCCATTCCCTGGTGTCCTGTCAGTGGTCACAAGAGTGAAGAGATCAGTGCCTGCCTCCCCACTGCCCCAGTGAGGTCTCCCCTCAGTCTCCTCTTCTCCAGCTGAACAGATCAAGTGCTTCAAACCACTACACACCCTCAGCCACCCCTTCTATTGCTTCCCCTAAGGCCCTTCCCCATCATCATGACCTCCTGTCAGGCAAAGAAAGTGTTAAACACCTCTGCCTTGTCTGTGTCCCTGTTTGGGAGGTGACCATCCCCCTCCTGGAATGGGCCAATGATATTTCTATACTGCCTATTGCCATTAATGTATTAAAAAAACCCTTTTTAATGTTCCCCCCATTTCTGGCAGCTCCAACTCCAATTGAGCTTTGGCCATTTTCTCCCTGCAGTGACGAGCAGCATCTCTGTGTTCTTCCCATGTCACCTGACCTTGCTTCCACTGGGCACACACCTTCCTTTTCCACTTTATAGCCAAGAGAAGATCCCTGCTCAGCCAAGCCAGCCTTCAGCTTCACCTGCTTGACTTCCAATATTTGGGAACTGCTGCCCCTGTGCCCTCAGGAGGTGACGTTTGAAAAGTGAGCAGCACTGATGGACCCCAGCACCTGCAAAAGCGTTTTTCCAGAGGAATTTACTCCCTCATTCCCTGAGCACCTGAAGTCTGCTCTCCTCGTGTCCAGGGCTGAGGTTTTGCTGCCACTTTTCCTCCTGTCACCAGAGATTTTAAACTTGATCCCTGTGGCCAGGGCGGCCAAATCAGATTATTTGTAACACAGACCAATTAAAGAGAAGGCACATTTCACAAATAAATTGTATCTGATTTTTAGCCCTGGGCTCAAATCCCTGTTATCTGGGGAAATCCTACAGAAGTTTCACCTCCCTGCGAAGCTCCTCCAATGTGCACTGAATTCCATGTGAATATTGTCATCAATTCCTATATACACCAAGATTAGGTACAAAAACTCAGCTCAGTTTAAACCCCAGAGCTACCCGAACACTTTAGATACAAAATATTCAGCTCTCATTTGAATCTCCACAGCCAGCTCTGTGCCTGGCATTACTCAGAAGCAGGGAGAAGGTTTAGGAAGAGGGTACTGTCAGTTGATGGACAATTCCAGGTCTCAAGTAGAAATCCAGATTTCTTTCAAGTTATGGGAGGGAATAACCCCCAGAAGGGGGGGGGATGTAGTGTTGGTTCCATGGCTAGAAATGGATTTCTTATGGAGTTAGAGTCATTGCACTAAATGTTAGATACTGCACACCTGAATGAGGTAAACATTATATACCATAAAATACTTAGGGAAATGAATTGTTACAGCTTTATCTTTGGAAAAAAGAACCTGCTTCCTTCTTCATTGGACAATCCCAGAGTCAACTGACGTTTGCTTCCGAGTTGTCTTTGGAGGTGGAGGCGGGGGAGTCTTGCTGGGGAGAGGAGGTGGCAGGTGCTGGAAGAAACCAAATTGGATGGATCATGTTAGCAAAGGATGGAGTTTGGAAACTTTTTCATATACAACTGTGGAAGAAAACAGGTGAGTCTGCAGCCTCTGACTCACAAAAACCTCTCCGTGGAACTTGCTGCTGTGGATTCCCAACGCCCTCAGCCATTAGTTTTAAATATAACTTTTTTATTTTAACAACAAAAAAAAAAAAAATCTCTCAAGGGTTCAGGATTAATTAGCTCAATATTTCAGGAAAAATCTTTCGAAAGCACTGGAGAAGTTTATAATTCCCCACTTTA